GGTTGGACTTGCAATTAATACTTTAGAACTTTACCCTATCTTCCTTTTAAATATGGTGTATAAAATTGGAAAAGATTCAAATAAATATACAATCAATGTTCTCAGAAATCAGTACACAAGGTTTCAGAAATCATTACACAAGGTTTCAGAAATCCACCAATTAAAGTTTGACTAAATGGTTAGGAAGAAAACTCAGCGTGGATGTCATGATGTTATACAGAAAGTAAGGTTATAGGATCCAGAAGGAACAGTGAAAAAAAAAAAATAATGTGTCATGCTTTTTAAATACTTTGGCTTCTGTAGTGTATAGAAGATGCTTGATGGTCTTAACAGTATTTATTTATACATCATTGCTTTTCAAAAAGGATTTGAAGTGACTTAACATAAATCATTCAGAAAGTTGAATAAATACAAACAAAAAATATAAAATGGTAAAAAGAAGAAGTCAAAATGTTAATTTTAATGTCTAAAATAATTGTTATTTAATTGAGCATTAAATTGGGCTTGGGCTACATATGCTGTAAGAAGATTACTATTTAAAGAATATTAAACAAAAATTATCAGTGGTCTTACAAAAGTTTCCTTTGATCTGACAACTCTCATGACCTCTTGTATTTTCAAAAAAAAAAAAAAAAAAAAAAAGGATTGCTTGAGCCCAGGAGTTTGAGACCAGCCCTGGGCAACATAGCAAAACTCCAACCCTAAAAAAATTTTTAACAAAATAAATATAAGAGATAATGTCAAGTGCTGGAGAAGATGTGGAGAAACTAGAACTCATGTTTGTTGCTGAGCATGTAAATTGAAACAACATTTTGGAAAACTATTTGGCAATATCTAGTAAAGCTGAATATGTACATCATAAATTCAAGCAATTTCTTAATTTTGAGACAGGGTCTCACTCTGTCACCCTGGTTGGAGTGTAGTACACAAACATGGCTCACTGCAGCTTGATCTGCTGGGCTCAAGCAATTCTCCCACCGCAGCCTCCTGAGTAGCTAACACCACACGTGCATGCCACCACACCTGGCTAAATTTTTTTTTTTCTTTTTTTTTTTTTTAGAGATGGGGTATTGCCATGTTGCCCAGGCTGATCTCAAACTCTTGGGCTCAAGCAATCCTCCTGCTTTGGCTTCCCAAAGTGTTCGCATTACAAGTGTGAGCCACCACACCCACACCAAGAAATTTTAACCCTAAATAAATACCCAACAAAAATGTATATGTATATGTTCCACAAAGGACATGGGTAAGAATGTTTATAGCAGCAGTATTTGTAATAGCCAGAAACTGGAAACAAGCCAAACATCTATCTATAGCAGAAGAGACTATTGTTTATTTACGCAATAAACTACAATATAGCAATAAAATGAGCTACAACAACAGAAATCAATTTCACAAACATAATACTGAGATAAAGAATACAGACACAAAAGAGAATATTTAGTATGAGTCCATTTATATGAAGTTCAGAAATAAGCAAAGCTAATCTCTGGTGTTGGAAGTGAGGTTAGCGATTACCATTAGGGTAAGCAAGGTAGGAACTGGAAAGAAGTTCTGAAATTCTGTTGGTGTTTTATTTATTGACCTGGTACTGGTTTCTTGGGAGCACTTCTTTTATGAAAATCAATTGAGCAGTACATTATGATTTGTATACTTCTGTGCATATATCAACAAAATTGTATTCAAAAGCAGAACTAAAGCACCATCTATCCCACCACCAAAAAAAACTACTTAACTAATTTGTCATTATCTAAAATGTTGATTAACTAAAAAGTAACATTTAAAAGGTTGCTAAACCTATTGCTAAAACTTCAGGGAAAAAGTGAGAGTATTAAATAACCATTTGAAATTAAAAAGCATGCAAATTATAACCTATAGATCTCTCTGTCTCACACATACACACACACATGCCCACACACACCCATGGTTTCATACCTTTATGTGTAGTACCAAAGATGATTAATTCATAATTAATATCTGAACATCAATTTGCATTTTCAACATGTAACCAAAAGCATTCTCAACTGAATTATATGATTAACAAAGATTGAGGAAAAGGTTATGGTCTGTCAGTGATAATTAATCTTCTAATAAGGTCTTCTAAAAAATTAAAATGATAACCCAAATGCAACTTATCAATGAATCCATACCAGAGGCTATTAAACCTAAGACTTAGATAATTAAGGCCAAAAAATAACAAATTGAGGATAACAGTGTCTAAAAATTCAAAAGTAGGATATGATACAAACATTTAATATATAAGATAAAGATTGCAGATTATAATAAAGTTATAGGTGCTGTGCTAATTTTCTTTTGCTGCATAACAAATTGTCCCAAATTTAACAAATTGGGGGCCTTCCTCAGTTTGCTTTTCCCTCTTATCCACTACTTCTTTTTAAAAATTATCCCCTTTAGTTCAGCTTTTCTTTTATTATTATCATTAGATTATATTATTTTCTTTTTTTTAAATTTAATTTAGTTTTAGGTTCCGGGATATATGTGCAGGACATGCAGGTTTGTTACATAGGTAAATGTGTGCCATGGCGGTTACCTGCACCTATCAACCCATCACCTAGGTACTAAGCCCCATATGCATTAGTTATTTATCCTAATCGTCTCCTGCCCCCCTATGCCACCCGCCGTCCCCCCACGCAGGCCCCAGTGTGTGTTCTTCCCCTTTTCAATACTTACTTTTACTACTTCTGTTACAGGAGCTTTGCAGTGTCACTTTTCTTGCCAGAGACCTCTGTGGTTGGTGGCACCTTTACCTGAATTCTTTTCCTGCATCCAGGAAGAATGAGGTTTGCAGACAGTGTGGGGTGAACAAGACCAAGAGGAGCTTTACTGAGTGTTAAAACAGCTCAGGGAGGCCCTGGAGAAGGTAGTTCCCCTGCAGCTGGTTGTCTTGTCCTCTTTAACAGCAGAGAGGGTAAGTCCTCTCTCTTTTTTTTTTGTCGGAGACTGAGTCTCGCTCTATCACTCAGGCTGGAGTGCAGTGGCCCAGTCTCGGCTCACTGCAACCTCCGCCTCCCAGGTTCAAGCGATTCTCAATTCTAGCGCCTCAGCCTCCCAAGTAGCTGGGATTACAGGCCCCTGTCATCACGCCCAGCTAACTTTTGTATTTTCAGTAGAGGCAGGGTTTCGCCATATTGGCCAGGCTGGTCTCGGACTCCTGACAATAGCAGCCGCTCTCCGTGGCCAGTCATCTAGTCCTCTGCCCTGCCCTGACTGAGCCCAGGGCTTTTATAGGCCTCAGAGGGGGGAAGTACATGCTGATTGGCCCATGGGCGGCCATGGGCGGGCACTGGGAAAACCACCATGAATCCCCCTCCCATCAGCAGGACTGGCTGACCCGCCCCCAGGCTTGAGGCCTGCCCTGGCCTGAAGGTGGGGCTTCACGGGTCATCCACCCACTTCCGCCCAGGAGCATGTCTGCTTCCCCTGGCATCCATGGCACCTGCAGTGCCCAGGTACCCTCAGCTCCCCCTCAGCTTCCCCTCCTGCTTCTCCACACCCAAAGTCTGGAGGGGGCTGAGGCAACAGGGAGCTGACGTGTCACCGCTGACCTGTGCACACACCCGGAGGGGCTGTGACAGCACCCTAGCTCAGCCCCAACCCCGGTCAGAGATCTGATCGGCGCTGGGAGTGGGGAGAGGTCTGCCAGCTGGAGCAGGTACCTCTGAGCCTGGAAGGGCAAGGGGGGCCTTCCTAGACCGCCTAAGAATTCAGGGATGCCTTGGTCTGCAACCCCGCCTAAGAGGGCGGGGCTCCCGCCTACTCTTGGCTCCCAACAGCACCCGGGATGCAGCTCGCTTGGGTGGCTGCAGTTGTACCTGGGGAGCTCCCGCCCGACCAACTTGGAAAGAGCAGAGCTCCCAGTTGTTCCCAGCTCCCACTGGCACAGTGGGCACCCAGCCGCACCTCCTGGCAGCCAGGGGCGGGGGCTCCAGGTCATTCCTTGACCTGTGCCGGCATGTGGTATAGGGGCGAGGTTGCTGTGACTCCCACTGTGTCCCAGCGCTCAGGGACCGGCCAGAGCGCCGCCCGTGAGAGCTGAGGCTCAGCTCAGCGCAACCAGGCCTGGCCTTATCACGGCGGTCCCCAAGGTGGCGGGCTGCAGGGAGCGGGGAGGGTGGAAGGTGGGCTGTCCACCTCCTCCCCTTGCCGTGCCCGGCGTGATGGCAGCAGCCACATCAGACGGCCAGCGGCTGCCATCACTTCCATGCTGGTGCCTTTTGTTTGTTTGTTTGTTTTGTTTTTGTTTTTTAAGACAGAATCTCGCTCTGTTGTCCATGCTGTAGTGAAGTGGCGCGATCTCGGCTCACTGCATCCTCCGCCTCCCAGGTTCAAGCGATTCTCCTGTCTCAGCTTCCCGAGTAGCTGGGACTACAGGCGCGTGCCACCTCAGCTAGCTAATTTTTTCTATTTTTAGTAGAGACGGGGTTTCACCGTGTTAGCCAGGATGGTCTCGATTTCCTGACCTTGCGATCTGCCTGCCTCAGCCTCCCAAAGTGCTGGGATTACAGGTGTGAGCCACGGGCTCGGCCTCTTTTTTTTTTTTTTTTTTTTTTTTTTTTTTTTTTTTAGATGGAGTCTTCCGCCCAGGCTGGAGTGCAGTGGCGCAATCTTGGTTCACTGCAACCTCCGCCTCAAGGATTCAAGCAATTCTCCTGCCTCAGCCTCTTCAGTAGCTGGGATCACAGGCACGCAACACCACGCCCGGATAATTTTTTTGTATTTTTAGTAGAGACGGGGTTTCACCATGTTGGCTGTGCTGATCTGGAACTCCTGATCTCATGATCCGCCCGCCTCGGCCTCCCAAAGTGCTGGGATTACAGGCGTGAGCCACCGTGCCCCGCCCCGTGCCTATCTTTTTTACGTCTCTTCTTCTGGCTACTTTTCTCCCCACTACCTAATTACTGCTCAGCTATGGAGGATCAGTATCATCTCACATCGGTTATGAAGTCTTTCCTATTTCAACCCAAGATGCTTTCACACTTCTGACCTTTCACAGTACTTGTTATTTGTAACCTTTTTTTTTTTTTAAGCACATATTATCTGATAATATAGGAAGCTGATTTTTGTAAGTATGTGTGTGTCAAATAATATCTTGACCAGATCCCCAGCTCTTTTAGGAGCAAAAACTGTTTTTTTTGTGTCTCAGTATCCACAACCCTGACTTTAACATACATAAATGATTTTTCCTTCTTTCACAATCAATTTCCTATCTAATAACTAATCCCTGTAGACAAGTCATTATCATATAGTTAAACCATTTTCTATACAAATTTTATTTTGAAAAGTGAAAAGTAACTCATAAAAAAAATTTACATTTGCTATTACTTAAAACCCAAAATAGCAAGTTCTTAAAAAAAAAAAAAAAGATATCTTGATGAAAGTTCTACAGAAAGTCTACAAAAATAACAAGACCTCCATCCGGTGTATTTTTGTTTTCTCCAAAGTGCATTCTGTCTTGTTTTGTATCTCCAAAGCACTATGCCTTAGACACTGTAGTCACCCCATTGTAACTATCAGTACTGAGCATTAACTTTGGCCCAGGCAGTGTGCTCAGTATTTTGTGAATATTATCTCCAAACCTTACCCTCATGTTACAGTAGCCACTTTAACTACTACTTCACTTAGAGAAACACAGACTTCCATTACCAGCAAAGCGCAATCTATATCTCAAAAACTTCCAATGAAACAACAAAAAATTGCTGGATAAAATATAACAAACCTACTTTTAAATGCATAACTGAGCTTGCAAGAGAGTAAGGAAATCCCCGGAAGTCAAACATGAAGACAAAACTAAAAACTAGATCTCAAAATGTGAATTGGTGCTGGACTTGTCTTAGGGTAGGGCAAAGGAGGTGTTTTCATTCACTGTAGACATAGATATACAGGTGAGGCTCGGATGAGGCAAGGTAGAGCCTTAGAACTGAGGCCCTCTACAAAAAGATGGACTTAACTGGAATCCAGTGAAAGTGTGAAGTAAGAAAAAAAAAAAAATGACACCAGGGGACAGGAAAGTTTGTCATCTTACTACATTCTGGGTCCAAAAACAGTCCCCTCTTAGAGTTTACCTCAGAGCAGCATTCAAATTTGAGATTAAAATTTACTCTCTATAGGGCCTGAAGACATTTAAGCCGAGAAATTCCAGTCTCAGTGTCAAGTCTCTACCTCTTATTCTTACACTTAGTCTCCTCTCTTTGTGTCCATGAATATGAAAGCTAATAATACTCACAGGGAGCCTTGTAGAAGCAAATACCAAATCATTCTAAGAAGTGACCCTCTTTGGCCCTGGTAATATTTTTGCTTTGAAATTCATTTTTCATCCTTATTTTGATTAGCATTGGCAGGTATATCTTTTCCTATCCTTTTCTTTTTTAACTATGCCTTATTTAAAGTAGGTTTTTTAGTAGATAGAATATAGTTGCATTTTGCTTTTTTGTCCAATCTGTTCATGTGTGCCTTGTCATTAGGGTGTTGACTTCAGGGGCACCTTCTACAGATCTCTTGAATTCTCTTTTTACATAGCTTTCTCCTTCTTAATACTCTGATCTATAAACTCTGGTCTCTTTGGCCTTTCTGTATTTCCAGTTCCATCTCCTCACCTCAGAAAACCTGGCAGTCTCTTTCTGTGCACACTTTTCTTGGAAATTCTCATTTGTTTCCCATCTCTCCTTGGAGCTCTCTTCATTCTTGTCTCTCAGGAATCATTGTCTTTTTTGCTCAATGTTGGCTGTCTTTAAAAACAGTTGTTTCATATATTCTGTCCAGACTTTTTGTTGTTTCAGGCAGAAGGGTAAATCCAGTCCCTCTTATTTCATCTTGCTTAGATGTGGAAGTATAAACTGTTCTGGAAGGACACACCATGCAGGATTCAAACAGATAACACTGTGGTTAAAATGTATTCACAATCTAAAATTACAAAACATGTGAAATAGTTCGTTGTGAGGTAAAGTCAATAAATACAACAAACAACTTGTTTAGACCCCCCCCCAAAAAAGCTTTAGGAAATATAATTATTAAATATTAACTACAAAGTGAGTATGTTTCAAATGATTCAAGATATGAAATAAAAAATGGAAAAAAACAGCATTATATTTTCAAATGATACCAGGGAATATTGAAAAAATACCAAATAGAATTTCTAGAACTAAAAAAAAAGTCATTAAAATTACATAGGTAGAAATAAAAATTCATTAAGTTTTATTTGCCTAAAATCACCCCACTGTGCATGCTAGATCTGAAACACAAGCTGTTCTAGGTAAAAACAATACCTATGATCTTTTTATTATACTTTGTCTTGAATTTAGTGAAAAAAATAATGAGCAATGAGGGAATTTAATATATGTCTCCTGCCAATCATTCAATTCAACCTTAATATTTGAGTCATTAATAAAATAACATCTTTAAAATGGTGACCTTAAGGAACAGCATTAATACACATACTTTAGGTAAAGCTTATTTTATAGAACTAAAACTTGAATAAAATCGGGCTTACTTTATTTCAACCTCAGATCACCGTCAATTTAGAAACACATCCCAAATAAATACAAATATGACTGTAAAACCTAATCATATATATTCTAATTACCCTTCAGAACTTTGTAAAAATCATCTTTACAATCTTCTTTTTCCCAGAGTTTCTTTTCTCTCTCTACCTACCAAAATAAAACAACAATAAAAAGACACAACCCGGCTCTCCACCTTCAGTCTGTTTTTTCTTCTATTTCTTCCTTCATTGCCCTCTCTTTATCACATAAAGCCAGTCAGTCTTATTCAGTTTCTTTCATTTACATTTTTACAAAGTGCCTGAAAACAATTTTTGAGTTTTTTTTTTTTTTTTTTTTTTGGTAGAAGAATGGGATAAGAATAAACGTGATTTAACTTTTGGCTTGAATTACCAACAAGAAGGATCTGATTGGGAACAAAGCACATCACATTCTCTGAAACCTTTCCTCTTGTTCATTTAATTATATTTTTGTTGAAGTGAATCCTGATGAAAATAAAGCTATATGATTGGAAAAATTTGAGAATTGAATACAAATGTGACTTTAATGAACATCAGGCTTTTTCAGTCTTAGCTCACTTCAATAAAGAATATTTGAATCTTAGAATTGAAATGGCAGTCAGGTTTGTTTATTTATTTTGGTTCCTACTAATCTAGATGCCATACTGTTTTTAAAATCTAAATTTGCTTTAACAGCTCAAAAGTATAGTGCAGAGAAAGACTCTTTGTTAATAAAAGAAATAATAAATAGCTATCAAACTATGACATAATGTCCCAAAATTTGGGTTGTAATATTGACTCATAACAACTAGTCATCCACACTAATAGAGTGTTGTGATTCGACTTCTAACAGAAAGGCATTGTGTTTTCTGGAATATTTTGTAAATGTCTTCAGATCCATTTTGTACTATCATCCATGCTTTTCCTTCTTTTCGGCTGGACATGAGTTATTTGCAAATACTTGAGAATTGGTAACTTTTTATTACCGGTTGTTGGTTGATTTGAATAAATCTCTCTGAAGTGAGCCCTCCTCACCTCCCGCTGGAAACTTTTCTTCAGTTTGTCTAAGGATCTTTACACAAAGTCAGGTATAAATGACCAAGAAAATTTTAAGGCTTTTCTCTTTTTATTATGGGATTTTTTCAAACATACAAAAAAGGTAGAATGAATACCTTGTATACCATCACCCAGCTTTAACAAGCATCAATATTTTGTCAGTTTTATAATAAATTATCTCTTCTCAAATGTATTTGATAAGGATACATATTATTTTAGGCAGATCTTCCTGTAACCCCATGTTCCTAAGTTGGATCATACCTTTAAGTAGTTGTGTTCTCTGTCTGCGGATAAAGAGAATTGTCATCTATTCAAAGGAAAAGGAGATACATGAAGTATATCTCCTCCAGAGAAGTGATTCCTTCCTTCTTTAAAAAATATAATGTTTAGGCTGGGCATGGTGGCTCACGCCTGTAACCCCAGCACCTTGGGAGGCCAAGGCAGGTGGTACCTGAGGTCAGGAGTTTGAGACCAGCCTGGCTAATGTGACGAAACTCATCTCTACTAAAAATACAAAAATTAGCCAGGCATGGTGGTGAGCACCTATAATACCAGCTACTCGGGAGGCTAAGTCAGGAGGATCGCTTGAACCCTGGAGATGGAGGTTGCAGTGAGCTGAGATTGCACTACTGCACTCCAGTCTGGGCAACAGAGCAAGACTCCATCTCAAAAAAAAAATATATATATACATATATATACACACACATATATAAAGTTTATATATGAATATATACTTATATATATTTTATATAAAGTTTAACTACAGAAGGCCTGCGTTTAACTTTTCAAAGTTGTGGAGCTAGAAATTTGTTTGATGAGAAAAAAGATTTTAAACAACTTTTGGATAGATAATTATATTTCTCATATATTTGTGGAGTTTTCTCTTTTCCACCTTGGTATTTTCACTCCAAAGTGGATGTTTGTATGGCATGGAGAAAGAGAGAGTAATTTTAAGCAGGTTGTTCTTGATCTCTCATTCCCCAAATTTTTAAATATAACAAAAGCTTTTCCTGAATGCTAGAGATAATTAAAATATGAAAGTCCTAATGTTATTTCCTCCCTTTAATAATATCTCACTGCTGAGAGTGAAAAAAATTGTTTAAAGTTGAATAACTGGGTAATGGGAGAAAAAGCAAAGACAATAAGTGCATGAAAGGAGAAAGTTATATAAAGGGGGAAAAAGATAGAAAGCTATACACCAAAATAAATTCCAGGTGAATCAAATATTTAAGCAACATAAAAATTGAAACTAAAAAAGCGCCAGAAGATAACTTGAGAGAGTTTCTAATGGAGGTGTTTTTAACTATGATACAAGTCTAGAAGCCATAAAGGAACCTAACCGGATCACATGGCTATGTTTAGTTGCAAGGGTAGCTGGGAAAAGTTCAGTTAGCAAGAAAGGAGATAGGAAGAAGATTCTGGATAAGCAACTAACAGAATCTTCTATAATCACTGTGTTCTTTCCCTGCAGAATTCTTTTTTTTTTTTTTTTTTTTTTGAGGCAAAGTCTCACTCTGTTGCCAGACTGGAGTGCAGTGGCAAGATCTTGGCTCACTGCAACCTCTGCATCCTGGGTTCAAGTGATTCTCCTGCCTCAACCTCCTGAGTAGCTGGGACTACTCTTGTATGAGCCTTGCCTGATTTTATCTTTCAATGTTTTAATTACTTCAGTAAAAATGAATGCTAATGTATCAAAACAATCAGAAAATATAAGATACAAAATATTTGCTACTATAGAATATGACATAAAAATTATATGTACTGTTGTTATGGAACAATGAATTCATATTAAACAGTTATAGAAAACATGTTTGTGTAGTCTACATAAAATGAAAAAAAATGTTTATTAACTTATTAAGGAAGAAAAATTCCATTTAAAAATAAAAATATTTGCCATAAGGGATAGAAAATTGTTTCAGATGAAAATGAGTCACAGAGTTTTATTCCTTTAATAAAACTTTTACTTATATCTTTATATCAAGTGAGTCAATGATATAATATAAAGACTTTGTAGCTGCAAAATATAAAGAAATAGTAAGTATAGGCTGGGCTCGGTGGCTCACGCCTGTAATCCCAGCACTTTGGGAGGCGAGGCAGGCGGATCACCTGAGGTCGGGAGTTCAAGACCAGCCTGACCAACATGGAGAAACCCTGTCTCTACTAAAAATACAAAATTAGCCGGTCATGGTGGTGCATGCCTGTAATCAATCCCAGCTACTCGGGAGGCTGACTCAGGAGAATCATTTGAACCCAGGAGGCAGACGTTGCGGTGAGCCAAGATTGTGCCATTTTGGGCAACGAGAGTGAAACTCCATCTCAAAAGAAAAAAAAAATAATAATAAGTATAACCACTTAATCTTTCAATAATTATTTAATTAGATGAATTTATTCCTGTGATGCTATGGTGATTGGTTTTGTGGAACAAAAGAGCTAAACCGGCTTACATTATCTAAGAACCAAGATTATATAAGCAGCATATCATACATGACCTCCCTTGGAAGGCTCAGGAAATAAGAGCATCAATACATAATTCATTTAAGAAACTTCAGGCCAAAATCATCTCATGCTTTGATTAATGCCAAGTCTTAAAAGACTGATTATTTTACTTGAGGAAAGTACAATTTTAAACCAGTTAGGCTATGTGCATAAGTCATATATTTTTAGGTGACTAGAAAAATAATATGTCACTGCATTTTTTAACCTATTTGTTTTTATTTTCAAACCAAAAATTCTTAACATGTTTTTCTAGTTGATTCAAGCATCTCAAAAAAGCATAGAAACTTAATGGATATCCTTTTTATTAACTAAGATATAGAAATATTTATACCAAATAAAGTACAAATTCAGAAACTCTCATCATCATTGGGGTTTATCAATAAACAAAGCAAATGGAGAAATGGCAAAAATGAAAATATAAAATCAATTCTAATATCTTAGTCCAAGAGAATAAAGAATCCTCATCCTCAAACAAAAACCTCATTATCTATGCTATCACTACAGCTCAAAATCTGTAGATAAATCAAAGATTTTTTACTTAACTGTGGCTATGTAAACTGTTACCTAAATAATGCAGATTCTAAAACTGTCTTAGTTCAGGCTGCTGTAACAAATTACCACAGATTGGGTGGCTTACAAGCAACAAAAATGTATTTCTCACTTTTCCGGAGGTTGGATATCCATCAAACTGCCAGCATGGTTAAGTTCTGGTGAGGGCCTTTTTCCAGGTAGCAGGCTACCTACTTCTTATCATATCCTCACATAGTGGACAGCAAAGAAGGGAAGTAAGC